AAAAAAAAAACACACAACAAACTGACATTCATTAGAGGATTTTAGCAAGACCTAGAACCTCACAACAAAATACCCAAAATGTCTAGGACTTAATAAAAAATTACTTCACATATAAAGGACCAAGAAACTCTGACCCACTTTTAAGGGAAAAGACAATAGTCACCAACCCAGAGATAACCCTGATATTGGAATTATTAAACAGAGAATTTAAGGCACCTGATGAGAGCTGTTCTCTATGAGGTAAAAGTGAATACTTTGGAAATAAGTGGTAAGGTAGAAGCTTTTAACAGACAAAATAGAAATGATAGTTGAGAAGCAGATCAAACTGAAATGCTCAGTAACTGAATTACATTATTCACTGTATAGTCTCAATTTCACAATGGAAGGAACAGAGGAAAGAGGGAAAAGGTAGAAAAAAATTAAGAGTCTCAGGAACATTTTGGAGACAAGGAATATGTATAATATAGTTAGAAGCAAAACGATAAAATGAATACCTAAGCACCCACAACCAACTTTAAGAACTAGAATGGTATCAATTCTAGAATTCTAGTATTCTCTTCTTACCGTTCCTTTATTTCCATTCTTCCATCACATATGTATATATTCTCTAAATAATTTATTTCAAAATCATTTTGTTATATTACAGAGTTTAATGATTTGAAACTTGCTTTACAGGGTAATGTCTAAGATTCATCGGTGTCATAATCTGTAGCAATGGTTAATTTTCATTCTTCTGTAATATGTGTGTAACTGCCACAGTTTACGTGCCCTTTTCCTATAGATTAGAATTGTGTTACTCATTTACTCATTTATTTATTTTTCCATTACAAGCGTGGCTGCGATGATTATTCTTCTGCCTGTTTTCTGGTACCCATTTACATCTCTAGGAGTGGAACTACTTCTGGACCATAGGCTATGCGGATATTTGATTTTATAAAACAATGTCAACTACTTGTCATAACAATTTACATTCTCTTTCGTATCCTCACCAACAGATAGCAAACTTAGTGATTTTTTTGTTAGTGTGGTAAGTGAATATCTTATCACAATTTGCATTTTCCGGACTTCTAAAAAGTTGAATCTCTTTTCAAATATTTTTTGCCGCGTACGTGTGACTTTTTGTGTGTGTGAAATGCCAATTCATAACTTTTGCCCACTTTTTCTTCTGGGTTATTTGGTTTTCCTAATTAATTCTTTTCTCACGTAGGTTGTGATGCCCCTCTGTCAGATATCAATTTTTCATATATGTGCAGCCCTGTTCTGTGAATCTCTTTTCTAATCCTATGATTGGTTTGTCTGTATCTATACCAATACTGTACTGTCTTCGTTAACAAGCTTTATAGTAAATCTTTATATCTGATAGAAGACATCCTTTCACTTTGGAAGTGTTTGGCTATGTCTTGGCCTTTGTTCTTTCACATACATTTTATTTTTGTTTATTTTTTATTGTATTCAGAAACACAGTTTTTTGAAAAAAGATACTCTATGCATTTCAAGCTTCTTCCTTTTTTTTTTTTTTTTTTTTAGAATCAGGGAGTCAGCTTCCTTCAGAACATTCTAATGGGATTTTAACTGCAAGTGTCTTAAATCTATAGATCAATTTGGAGATAATTAACATATTTAAAATAATCTCTCTTTATGGCTATGTTGTATCTTTCCATTAATTCAAATCTTCATTTAAATTATATTTCCAAGATCCTTAGCATTTTCTTATTGTTATAGGTGAGTCTTTTATTTATTCTGGAGCTTGAAAGGGATGAAATGAAATTGTATATATTGATCTTAGAAGCAGCCACATTTTAAAATTATTTTACTATTTCTAAGAATTGGTCCATAGGTTCTTTTAGGTTTTCCAGAGATAGTTATATAATTTTCTAATATGATGGTCATTTTTCTTTTTATTCCCCTAGACCTAATTATTTTTGTGTCTTACCCTCGTCTGATGTCTCTAAGGAGCCAGGTTTTGCTCCTTCGAGAACTGCGGACCATTTAGCGCCTCAGGCTAAGAAAAGAACAAGAGAAAAATCATAGGATCTGCACATGTCTTTTTCATCCAGGGGAATGATAAGATTACTTTCACTTAGAATATTTGGAAAGGATGATGGAAAACAGAGTTATGTTTTAATTACTTTGCAAATCATGCTCATTGAACATATTAATTGTGCTCATATTATGTCAAATCAAGGGTTATTAGATATCATTATTTCCATTTTCCAGATGAAAACATTGAAACTAAAGAATGAAACACGTGCTGGTCAAAGTCACAGCTCTCTGAAGTATCAGAGCTGCAACTTGAACCCAGTCTGTCTGGATAATTCCAGTAAGCCAGGCTCAGTCAAAACTTGAGGTGAGTAGAGGGAGAGGCAAAGAATGCCCCTGAATTTCTAGTTAGAACCATAGAGCGCCCTGGGGCGTGGTTAGCGGGATCGAGAAAGTCATGGAAGGTTTGTGGGGGGGCTGGAGTAAATGAGCTTGATTCCTGAGTCATTTTCCTTTCAAGCGGAGACCCATTTCTCCCTCATGGTCCAGTTCACAGGTGATTCAATTTTTTGTTGTTGCTGTTAATATATGGAGAAGATCATTTTGTTAGAAATGTACTTAGCAGTTTGAGAGAAGCGCACACTGTCCTCTTTATGCTACTTTGTGGCTTGACCCTGTGGCTGGCTGTTCATAAATGCCCCTTTCAGCCAGCCAACAACAGCCACTGTGAGTCCTCAGCTACACCTAGTCCATCCTAGTCCAAGGTCCACAGCTATGGAATTCACTATCAGAGCAAATTGAAATGAATCCAAACCTCCATTTAGGATGCCCTGACATATTTCTTGCTTTGGGGGGAAGTGGTGGAGGGAAGCCCTATTAACAGCTCTATCAAAAAAAACAAAAAAAAAAAGACTTTTTTTCTTAAGTCTCCTCTAAAGCTATTTCATCCAGAAATCTGGGACCTCCCCAGGAGTATAAATCTGTAACAGCGGTCTTTTTAAGACTCTTATGTAATCAGAACCATCCTTCCATAATGCAAGGGGCACCAGCTCTATCAGTCAACATCCCAGCTAGAAACAGATGACACTCTCCAACTGAATGATTTGAGGATGGTTTTCAAAAAGAAATATTCATGATGGTATAGTCAAGGGATGCTGGAGTACCCCGGGGCTAGTAACAGGAACTGATTAGAGGCTTATGCTATGAAGCTTGAGAAGAAGAAGCTTAGTTGTCAGAACCTAGAGAGGAACATCTTAGTAGAGGATCCCTGACAGGACCTGTGGCTTTCAGATCAAGGACATAGCCAACCTGACGTGATCTGTCATGAAAATAGCCTAAAGAATAAATACCTAATCTCACCTGCCTTCTGTCTTCTGCTCTCTTGTCTCCCTTTGGCTGAACCCATGGAAGCCATTGATCATGGGAACTTGTTGATGGGTTAATAAAGCCAGTGTCCAGGAGCACAGTGCAGGTTGGAGAGTGGTGGAAAGTAAATATAATGGTCCAGTTGGAAGAAATTTGGCAATGGCTACCACCTTTTCCCTTCAGCACCCCCTCTTGTCTTTGTCCAGGTGAAAGATTGATTCCCTCCACACAGATGGCACAAAAATCCCATCAGGTACCATAATGTCCCATGGGGGTCTCAGTTTGATGAAATTCCTATCTGAAGCCTGAAAGAATTCTGGCCATCACCAGGTTTTTAAGGAAAGACTGTGGGTAGAAATAAAGGGGGCGGGGGGGGGCGGGGGACAAGAAAAATATTAATTAAGGAAAACATGCAGATATAACCTCAGCTTTCATATAAGTCTCATGAGGCCTATGTCAATAATTATAGCTGCCTTCTTCCACTGCCATTTGCATTTCCATTACTCGCTGCCAATTCCTCAGCTGGGTGACATTGTTTACCTATTGAAGTAACCCAAATCTTTATTCTTATGAGATGTAAGTCCTAGAAAATCCTGTTTTGGATTGCCCTCATTTTCCACCGAACAGAACTGTTGGAGAATAAGATGTACCCCAATGAATCCCCCGCAGACACAGTTCTATTTACCACCATTGTGTAATAGCATCTCAATTTCCCTCTGGTAATTGGACTTAGATATCCTTGCTGGGGCAATGATACCCTTCTTTAACTATTGGTTCAGCAACATGAGTAGCCCCGAAAATAAGAGGAAGTGGTAGTCTCAGTACTGTCTAATTCAACGTTAGTAGAACTTTACTCTGATGAAAGTGTTGCTCCCTTAGGACAGTAGTAACCCCAAACCTCTTGAACCCAGGATAATGGTTTCGCAAGCAAAAATTTCTCCATAGGAGGTTGTGTCCAACATAGTGTCAAAAGGGAGCCCTTGTTAGGCCATTTCATCATTCTCTCAAGCCAATTATATATGAATAATGGGACACATGGTAAGACTAGTAAAGTCTGTAAATGGAAACCCTGTGTTATACTTCCTTTGTTATAAAATGTTTTCACTAATTGGAAGCAATGATACGTAGGACGTTGTAGCAATGGGTAAAGTATTCTGTAAGGCCACAAAAGGTAGAACTGTCTTAAGGACGTGAGCAGGGAAGGAAAATCTTTCTCTAGGAATTGTGTCTATTCTTGTTAGAATAAATACTGCTCCCTCCGTGATGAAATGATGGATTCAAGGTCATCAACCAGCTACTGGATAACCAGCTGATCCCCAGAAATAGTGCTGTATCAGGAGCTCAGAAATGGCTCTGCTGTTTCCAGGCTGGGTGCTCACCAGTGACAGATTAGATTTAGTCAAAACATTTTGTATCCAGAGATAATGCACATTCTAAAAATATCGTTCTCCATGTGAAAAAACTAAAGCACGCACACACACACACACACACACACATGCACACACACACACACACACACACACACACATACATACTATGGGATTAAAACAATAGCAAATTCAAATGAATCCAAGTAAAGCCCAGGTTGGTTTGTAGGGCTTTTTATTCCATCACATATTTTCCTAGCATCAACTATGTGCTGATGGCTCTTTGTAGAGCAGGGGATACAGAAGTGAAAATTGTAACTTCTAGGGCCTAAAATACCAAAGCAGTTTCTAAAATATAAAAGTCGCCATAAATGAAACATGTGCAAACACAAGAAAGAAATTGATTATTCCTGATGGTGTAAGGGAAGACCTTAGCCTCAGACCCAAATGTTGAATAATGGCAAGATGTTCTAAAAGGTAAGGAAAAGTATGGTATTTCAGGAAGAGGGAAGCACTTTTGCAGTGTCACTGAGGCATAAGCATGAGATACCTCCCACCCTGATAATGCCAAAGCTTTCAGTTTGGTTGTGCCATTGGAACACGTGACCATACCAAAAGCAGTTGGGGAAGTATGGCTCGATTTATGAAGGCCTTGATGATGGAAGGCCTGTTCTGTGGAAGGCCTTGCGAACTGGGAAGTACTTCTGTCTTTGCCCAGGAGCAGGAAAGCACTGAAGGGTTTACAGCAAAGCAGTAACATGATCCATATTGTATGTTAGAAAGCACACCTGTAGAGGGATAATGATACGGGGCTAATAGGAGCTTATTAATTCAAGAGAGGGAAGCAATGATGCTGACCTGATTAGAGTGTTTACAAGGTTTTTGTAAACGAGACATAGAGACGTAAGAGATACTTAGGAGATGATACCCTTATGACTTGGGAACAGATTGGGTGAAAGATAAGTGAAAACCAGCAATTGATTAATTAATTAATTAATTATTTTATTTATATTGAGCTGTACCTGACACACAATGTTACATTAGTTTTCGGTGTACAACATAGTGATTCCACAACTTTATATGTTACACTGCGCTCACTACAAGTGTGGCTTCCCTCAGTCGCCATATAACACTATTGTAATCCCGTTGACTATATTCCCTTTGTTATACCCTTCTTCCCCGTGACGTTTTCATTCCATAACTGGAAGCCAGTACCTTCTACTCTCCTCCACCCACTTTGCAAGAAAGGAAGACTTTTAAGTGTCTCCTGTGGTTAGGACTTAAATGGCTGGTTTGGTGATGATGCCATTGGCACAAGACACAGGAAATAGAAGTTGGGGAAAAGAAGTTTAGTTTAAATAAGCAGAATTAAGTTCCTGTAAGAGATGGAGATTCTGTCATGTATAGTTTGGTAAGTATTTTTTAATTTAATTTATTTTTTTTAAGTTTATTTATTTTGAGAGAAAAAGAAAGAGCACAAGCAGGGGAGGGGCAGAGACAGAGAGAGAATCCCAAGCAGGCTTCACATGGTCAATGCAGAGCTCAATGTGGGGCTTGAACTCGTGAACTGTGAGATCATGACGTGAGCCGAAATCAAGAGATGGATGCCCAACCAGCTGAGCCACCCAGGCGCCCCTAAAGGAGTTTGAAGTAGAGCTATGTGTCTGGAATATAGAATCAAGTTCAGAATAGAAACCATAGGTTATAAAGTTAAGAGCATTTTGGTAGTAGTTGAAATGATGAATGAGGATGAAATATTTTAGTAACAGTGTGCAGAGTAGAAAATCCTGTGTCTCCCCCTCTATGCTCTAAGCTCCATGGGACAGAATTGTCTACAAATTTCTGGTTACCTAGAACAATGCTTGATACAAAGAAAATACTCAAAAATATCCTTAAGTGAGGAGTGAGAAAGGAATAAACTGAACAAGAATGAAGTGGATGAAATATAGGGAACACCAATATTTAAGAGAAGAGCAAGGGAAACAGTGAGAAGCTCTGAGAAAAAGTGGCCAAAGAGATAGAAAAACAAAACAAGAGGTGCCTGGGTGGCTCAGTTGGTTAAGCTTCCAACTTCGGCTCAGGTCGTGATCTCGTGGTTCATGGGTTTGAGCCCTGTGTCAGGCTCTGTGCTGACAGCTCAGAGCCTCGAGCCTGCTTCAGATTCTGGGTCTCCCTCGCTCTTTGCCCCTTCCCCACTTGCACTCTGTCTCTGTCTCAAAAATAAAATAAAAACATTAAAAACATTTTTTTTTAAAAAAAGAAAAAACAAAAGCAAGAATAGTACTTTAAAAGTCCAAGCCCAAGTAGGACAGTGAAAAGAAAGGAATGGCCAAGAAGGTCAAATGCTGCCAAGATGTCAAATAAGATAAAGGCAGGAATATATGCACAGTGGAACTGGTGTTCAAGAGAGAAAAAGAAGGGCCAGCTTGCAGTGGATTTAAAAGTGGATAGGAACACAAAAATAATTTCAAAATAGATGAAAGACCTAAATGTGAGATAGGAAACCATCAAAATCCTAGAGGAGAAAATAGGCAACAACGTCTTTGACCTTGACCGCAGTAACTTCTTACATGACATGTCTCTTCGAAGGCAGGGGAAACAAAAGCAAAAATGACTATTGGGACCTCATCAAGATAAAACCTTCTGCACAGTGATGGAAATAATCAACAAAACCAAAAGGTAACCGACGGGATGGGAGAAGATGACATATTGGATAAAGGGTTAGTATCCAAAATCTATAAAGAATGTGTCAAGCTCAACACCCAAAAAGCCCAAATAATCCAGTGACGAAATGGCCGGAAGACATGAATAGACACATTTCCAAAGAAGGTATCCATATGTCTAACAGACACATGCTAAGCTGCTCAATATCACTCATCATCAGAGAAATACAAATCAAAACCACAATGAGATATAATGTCACACCTGTCAGAATGGCTAAAATCAACAACTCAGGAAACAGATGTTGGCGAGAATGGGGAGAAAGGGGAGCCTCTTGCACTGTTGGTGGGGATGCTAACTGGTGCAACCACTTTGGAAAACAGTGTGGAGTTTCCTCAAAAAATTAAAACTAGAACTACCCTACAGCCCAGCAATTACACTACTAGGTATTTATCCAAAGGATACAAAAATGCTGATTTGAAGGGGCACATGCACCCCAGTGTTTACAGCAGTGCCATCAACAATAACCAAATTATGGAAAAAGTCCAAATGTCCATCGACTGATGAGTAGATTAAGAAGGTGCGGTATAATATACAATGGAATACTACTTGGCAATCAAAAAAATATGAAATCTTGTCATTTGCAACAAAGTGGATGGAGTTAGAGTGTATTATGCTAAGCAAAATAAGTCAGGCAGAGAAAGACAAATATCATATGATTTCACTCATATGTGGAATTTAAGAAACACAACAGATGAACATCAGGGAAGGGAAGGAAAAATAAAATAAAAACAGAGAGGGAGGCAAGCCATAAGATACTCTTAAATCCAGAACGAAGTGAGGGTTGCTGGAGAGGAAGTGGGTGGAGGGATGGGTTAAATGGGTGATGGTCATTAAAGAGGGCACTTGTTGGAGTGAGCATTGAGTATTATATGTAAGTGATGAATCACTAAATTCTACTCCTGAAACCAATACTACACTGTATGTTCACTAACTTGAATTTAAAAAAATAAATTAAAAAAAAAAATGAATGAGGGATGAGAAAATGGAGCCAGAGAAAGAAAGAAAAATTCTTGAGAAAATTAGATGAAAGAAAGAAAAGAAAGAAAAATAGATAAAAGACAAAGGAAGATTCAGGAACAGGATTTAATTTTTCATTATTTTTTTGTTGGTCCTCGTCTTCAAAAAAAATGTGATTTCTTTTGGGTGCATAAGACTGATGAGGGTTCTGTGCCACAGGAGGAAGGGAAAGGTTGTACCTTAAACAGGAGGTTATTGATGAAGCAAGATTTCAGGAGAGACTTAACCAGACGTTGGAGGAAATGGTTGTAATTTTCCATTTTAGCGGCAGCTGGAAGGACCTTCATAGTCACCTTCATTTCGGATTTTGGAAAGACCTGGCTCGAGATTCCTCTTGTCTCTCTGGACTTTTCCATGGGTTTCTATGCCCGGTTTCCATCAGCTGCTGCAGCTCAGGATGTATCCTGGCTTGGAGTAGGGAAGAAAGGAAATTGAGGAAGACTTTGGTGAAAGGGATCCAGCATCTGCTCGCCTCTGGGAGCTGACTCAGATGCTCAGCATCTCCCCACACCCAGCTTGTTGTGCTCGGGTTTTGTGCTTTCCTGTGGAGTCCTCTTTATTTTTCCCCCTGAATCAGAGTGGGTTGGGAAATATAAACACAGGAATCATGACAAACTTGTCCATGCGGGAAAGAAAAGATGTCACTGCAGTTTTAGTGGAGCGTCTGGGTAGCAGTTACAGCAGAGAAAGAACGAGAAGGCTTCATTAGGACAAAAACCTTTACTTCTTTTTTCTTTTTTTTCAGTAAACAAATGTTCTTTGGTCTTAGGTGGAAATTCAGAGATGAAAAGGCCAAGTTTCCTGTCCTCGAGAAATTGCTGGTGTGATCAGGTCGAGTTGTAAAAATATGATCCACCAAGAACCAAGATCCCCTGGAGAGGAAGCCAATTTGCAGGTAAGTTATGTACATCCCCTCCCACCCCAGCTTGAGAACTGGGGATCCGGGGCCAAATGCCTAGAGAAGTCTGTTTGGCGGAAGGAAGTTTCAGCGCGCATAGAGTGGGGTGACTGATTTTTCGGCAGCAGCTGAAATAAAAAGAACAGAAGGAAAAAAGCAGAAGTGAAAAAGACTCTTACTTCTTCATTCAATATTTCTGGGCCTCCTACTACGGGCCAGGCATGGGTGAAAAGCCTTGCATGACGTGTATGGGGAGGGGGTGATATCTCCCTGTGCAAACTCAGAAAAATCTCACAGTATCTGGCCCACTGATCCTCATCCTGGGATCCCTAGACCTCCAGAAGTCCAAGAAGGGAGTCGTGATGGATCCGTGGTTATTTTAAATGTCTAAACCCGAGCTGAAGGTATTTCAGTATGACCGAGTACGGAGGGGAGGGTGGGAGTGGCTGTTGCAAGATGTGAAAGAGGCCATTCCCCCTCTGAAGAATGAAATACTTCCCGTTCTCCAAGATGTCACGCTCTGGGTGTGTGACACGCTTACATCCCTTATGCCTTCTCTCCTTCCTAAGCAATTCTGAGTCCTTTAAGACTTGGAGCAGGTGCCATGTTATCAGGCCCGGGCAAGATCATGTTTCTCTTCCATATCCCATACACCTAGCGTTTTCCCTGTCAAAACCTTGGTCGCTCCCAGTGTATTGGAACTGTTCCCATTGGTGTTCCCCATAAGACTGCAGGACCCCCAGCCATGGGATTATCTGTGACTCATGGCCCACACTCCAGCATCCAGCGTATGTTCCACCTAACATAACGCCCAGCTCATGGAGGTGCTTTATAAACACGTGTTTCATGAAGTTATAAGCCAGAGAAAGAGCAAGAGGGTTTCATCTGCCTAAACATTTTACTTCTGCCTTTTTCCTTTCTTTTAGTTTCCTTTCAGCTGCTGTAAAAGACCCAGCCACCTCACCTCACACTTTGTGTGTTCAAACTTCGTTTTCCAGCACATACTTCTCCTTCAGTTTTGTCTTAGAACCCTTAGTTCTCAGAGCTGGGGGACCATGTAATTCATCCTGCAAAATATCTTCCTCTTCAGAAGAACTTGGCCTGACACTGCACGGGGCAGTGGAAAGAGTGCCAGCCAGAGGACCCAAGAGTTGCTTTCTGGATCTGTCTCTGCCACTGATTCATTCAGTGGCCTCTACTACTTACTTGCCTTCTTGGAGCTTTACCTCTTTTGTAAAAAGAAGGAGTGACCGGGGATTGGATACCAGGTGGGAAGTAGCATAGTATGGGGAAACAGACAGGAACATTGTGGAATCACATACATCTGGGGTAGGATCCCCCTACCCCACATGTCCTCTTTGTCGGTAACTTTCCTGAATCAACGCCTCCTGTGTGAAAAGGGAATGAGGATCCCTGGCTCTTTGAGCCATCGTGAGACTATGCGGGCAAATGTACAAAGTGCCTGTCATATGGTAGCTAATGAACAAATCACATTAAGCTTCTTCACCTCCAGGGGTCTTCCCATTTTCATATTTTTGTATTCTAGATTTATATACACAATCAATCTCAGTCAACATTTTGCCTCCCCTCATATAGTTATGAAAATACTTTATCCGTTTAACCTTTTCTTATTCGTTCACTTAAAAATACTTATTCCAGGGATGCCTGGGTAGCTCAGTCATTTGAGTGCGGGACACTTGATTTTGGCTCAGGTCATGATCCCAGGGTCGTGAGATTAAGCCCCATGTTGGGCTCTGCCCAGAGTGTGGAGCCTGCTTAAGATTCTCTCTCTTTCCGCTACTCAAGTGTGCACATGCACATGCATTCTCTGTCTCATCTGTCAAACCAGGAAACTCTTAACTATAGAGAAAAAGCTGAAGGTTCCTGGAGGGGATGTGTGGGTGGGGATGGGTATGATAGGAGATGGGGATTACGGAGTGCACTTGTTGTGATGAGTACCGGGTGTTGTACGAAATTGTTGAATCATTATATTATACACCTGAAACTAATGTAACACTGTATGTTAACGAACTGGAGTTTAAATAAAAACTGGAGGAGAAAAAAATTTAAAAAGATAAAAATCCTCCATTTATTCATTCAATATTTTATTTAAAAAATTTTTTTCAATGTTTATTTATTTTTGGGACAGAGAGAGACAGAGCATGAACGGGGGAGGAGCAGAGAGAGAGGGAGACACAGAATCGGAAACAGGCTCCAGGCTCTGAGCCATCAGCCCAGAGCCTGATGCGGGGCTCGAACTCACGGACCGCAAGATGGTGACCTGGCTGAAGTCGGACGCTTAACCGACTGCGCCACCCAGGCGCCCCTCATTCAATATTTTAATAACTCACTTGGGGAAAAAAAAAAATCCTACCTCTGCTCTCTAAGTATTGGCTAAGTGATCCTAGAGTAGTGGTCCTCAAAATTTTTGGTCTCAAGAACCCATTACACTATAGAAAATTGTCAAGGAACCCCAAGAACTTTTGTTTACATAGGATGTATTTATTGAGATTAGACATTAGAACTGAGTGGGGTGCCTGGAAGGCCCAGTAAGTTAAGTGTCTGACTTCCCCTCAAGTCATGATCTTGTGGTTCATGAGTTCGAGCCCTTGCTGGCAGCTCAGAACCTGGAGCCTGCTTCGGATTCTGTGTCTCCCTCCTCTCTGCCCCACCCCTGCTTGTGTGTGCACTCACTCTCTCTCAAAAATAAACATTTAAAAAAGAGAAATTAGAACTGGGGAATTATGAGACGATTTATTAATTTATTTTAAAATGACAGTATTCCATTTCATGTTTATAGAAATGGCATTTTAATGAAGAATAATTATATTTTATAAGATAAAAATAATTAGTCAAAAGGGTGGCATTGTTTTATATTTTTCAAATCTCATTAATATCTTTTTTTAATATGAAATTCATTGTCAGATTGGTTTCCATACAACAGCCAGTGCTCATCCCAACAGGTGCCCTCCTCAATGCCCATCACCCACCCTCCCTTCCCTCCCACTCCCCATCAACCCTCAGTTTATTCTCAGTTTTTAAGAGCCTCTTATGGTTTGGCTCTCCCCTTTCTAACTTTTTTTCATTAATATCTTATTTAATAGAAGACTGGATTCTCACATCTGCTCTGAAGTCAGATTCTGTGCAGTGTAATGTTTTGTCAAAGTCTGTGCAGAGAACCCGGTCTCACACAGATAGGTAAAGTATAGGAGTCATTTTAATAATCTTATCAGACAATTGTGGATGTTCTTCTTTGATACTACACCAAAACTTGACAAGTGATAATTTCTTAAATGTTAGTTACAATGTGAAATCTGAAACCATATCAGTGAGCTTTTCACATTCTACTGCACTGAAATCCACTGGTCTACCTTTCCTTTGAGTGGATTTTTTTTCTTTTTTTACCCACGCATAACATTTTAACATCATGCACTGGTCATATGGAAAATATCAATTCACTGAATTATGCAGATCTTCAGAATGTTGACTCATTTCATTATACAATACAAAAAATCACATTCCTTATTATCACCACCAATCTCATCAGAATGTGAGTATTAGAATGTTGTCAAGCTCATGAATGGCAGATACACATTTTCCAAAATTTAAATTCTTGCTTGAAAGCTTGAGTTTAACCATTGGCAACAAATGCCATGAGTTGTTTTTCTGGAAATGGCAGGCTCTTTTTATTTAATTTTTAAAAAATGTATGACATATGCCCGTGTCTAAATAGCCATAGTTTGTCAGTCTCTTATAAGTAATACAAATATTTTTTATTGCTCCCTCTTAAAGCATGTTTGAGTGCAATTGAGTTTTATTTTTATCTTTTAACTGTGAGTGCACGGTGTTAAAGAATACAACGATTAATACAGTTTGGTGCCACTGCCTTGACTCGTGCTAAAGCATCAGCTGTTTACTCACGATGGCTTCTCGCCATCAGTCAACACAGTGTCAGCACAAATGTCAACACAGTAAAAGAAGCAATACTTCTTTCTATTATTATGAAAATAGTTTTAACCTCAGAGACCCCCTGAAAGAATCTTGGGTATTCCCAGGGTCCATAGACCACATTTGGGAAGCATTGCTAGTATTTTTTTTATTTTAAAAGGTGAGCTAGCCTCAAATGTGGACTAGACATCAAGCATAATTTGAAAGCATTTCTCACTTTTCTTTGATAATGACCATGGCTTCTTTTCCAGATGACATCTGCCTAGTATGTAATTGGTGACTACATCCAAGTAAACATGTGGAAAATGAGAGCAAGTGGGTGTGTGGGCTCAGAGGGAATTGCTTGTTTGGAGGGTGATGGGAGAGCACAGTTCTGGAAGGAGTTCAGTTCTATGAGTGTATATTTCTGGTCTTCAAAAGATTACCACATACATGCTGTCATACAATTTATAATGTGCCTGAGGGAGGTAGCTTAATGTAGAGAAGGAACATGGGCTTTGCACTCAGCCAGTCTTGGGTTCCTATACCAGCTCTGTTGCTACTGTCTATGTGATCTCTACCAATTAACTTTACCCTGCTAAGCCTTGATTATCCCATCTGGAAAATGAAATTACTGCTTAGAATAATGTGATGTTAGGCATTTAAAGGATGGGACATTGAGTGGATGCTCTGATGTACCATACTGACCCCCCTTCAGGAATACACTTGTTACTGCAGGGAGTGCTGCTGAAGACAGCCCTCAGTGTCAGTCTTGGTGAAAAAAGAAAACTGCTTTGCCCAGTGTCACAACACCTCATAATGGGCAGCCTGCTTCCAATGACTGATCAATAGCCTGGCTACCTCATCTCAACTTGGTACATTTCTGAAAGGCCATCTCAGCTGCAGTACTCCTCATGGGGTCAGCTGATGTCTTTGTTGGACTGTATTAGAGCTCAGTTTCTCACTCTGCCCAACCCTGTGTCCCTCCCCTTCCCTTCCACAGGTGTCATCCTAAGTCTCCTGAATAGAGTCCTGTATGCTAATCTTCAATTCAGATTCTGGTTTCTGGT